GATTTTTTGTAATTAAATTATAATTGSTTTTGAATATATACATATGCACATATGCTGACAAGTAATTGCTGGCATTAGTTAAGCGCTCTTAAGAAATTTTTTCCGATGACCTATATTCCGATTCATAAGAACTCCKTGCTTCATTTACATGTCCCACACGTAATATCTTAACATTTTGTTGTAGGAGGAAATGGTGAGATATGCGATTGTGAAGTTAACGGAATTTTAAACTGTGCATCATGTAGCATGCAACAAAAGGCAGTTTGTTGTGAGAAATTTGCTTATTCGGTGGGGAATTGATTGTTGTATTGAAAAAAAATGCCTGGAAAATAAGATTTTCTTAAAGTTGTTCAAAAATCTGCGGTAAAAATTTAAATCTAAAACGTCACTCTTGAAATTAACAAATATGAATACTGTTATTTTGTTGTCATGAAATTTTAACCACTTGGTGGARTTTCCGCGTATTTAAAGCAAAGCCTGCACTTTGAGCATTTTCYATTTGGAAGTGTTCAGATTATAAAATGCGGTATAAAGTCCAACAGTTGCTGTAAAAAACAGTTGAAGGCAAAACCATACACATATATAAACACCCTGCAACACCTGCACACGTTGAGATTGCATTTGATGTGGCACAATGCCTTTCTGTTATGGTGGCATGCCGCAAACACCATAACACTCAACGGTTTGACTGTCAGCATACATTCCAGTGTTTACACAGCGCGATTCGCTAAGATTTTATTTGCACTGAAAATCGCATTCAACTCGAGAATGAATACTTCCGCATCGCCTTTTCATTCCGCCACTCGTTTACTTGCCACACACGTGCGCTTGCGAATATAAGGGAGCGCAAACACACACACACACAAACACACTGACTCGAGGCGAGGCGAATGTGAATGAGCGCAGATTTCATTTTGTTGAGTGCTTCTTGCATCTTGCAACTTGCACTTCGCCTTAAAGCAGCAGCCACATGTGTTGCTTGGCAGCAATTCAGCGCCCGAGAASGCATTGAGGTTTGCAGCGCAGCGGCCCATATGTAGGTATTTTATGGACTCGATTTGTTTTCATGCCACTAATTTTCTAAGTCTTCGGCTGTGCATTGCTTAATTTGTTTCAAACACAGCCAAACACTGTATTGCATGAAGCACATGTGTGTGCTTGTGTTTGTGGTCGTGTGCGAAGATGTGAGAAAGGCTTGTGGCTTGGAGCTTGGCCGAGTAGTTTGGCATGAATGCAAATATATTCTGCAAATGGAGCACTAAATTCTAACAATAAGAAGAACTAAAACCGCTGTGCRAAACAACAACACACGCGACGACGCAGGCAGGCAAGSAAAGTRAGTTAGTCGAGGAGATTATCACCGCGCTGCTTGGTTTGACGCTGTCGGTCTCCCGCCGTAACGGGTCCAACGCTGTGCAGGCTGGCAACGTCTTGCTGTGCTGCTAAAATGTCTGGAAAATTGGTGAAAACCCATTGCGATAGTTTACTGTTTAAATATTTATGAAAGAAAATTGTCTCTGYGTCAATGTCGGTAAGACTGGCGTGTGCTTTGCGGGCGCCGTGTGCGCTCAAGCCAATTTCCAGATGCTSATGACAGGAGAAGATTTKTCGAGCAGGAAGATGCAAAGCGTGCTAGTCTTCTTGAGAAATTGAGAAAGGGAAACACAATGAACTTGAGAATATGTAAGAAATTGAGTAAACAACATTTTATGTAATATAAATAATAATAATATGCYCCTCGGGACAGATGTTTGGTCAAATTGTTTCATACTAAATATTTAAAATCGCATGGCTTCTGGGGATTTTTTTTATAATAAAAGGAAGAACTGAAATCCAGAACGCGGAGCTTTAATTCGCTAAACTTAACCTACACCCAACTCATATCTCGCTAACGGAAGCACCGCATTAAGTATTACTTCATGGGAGAGAGAAAGACTCTCAGTCTCATCTATCATAAGGACTAACTGGCGCCTAAATTGCTGTATATGGCTTAGTTATGTCACAATTAGAGCTGACCCTCCGCCGACAGCTTTCTATTTATTAGAGGACTGACACATGAGTGCTGTAAGATTTTCCACCGAAAAACTGCCGCCAAGTGAAGTTTTTAACTTTTCCCTTACATTTGGGAAACGACGGCATTGAAACCATACGTGCTCAGAGTCTCCTCTGCACTTTGTACACGTCAGGCAGTACAGACTAAGGTACGATGGAATCGGAACAGACAGCTTTCAAAGCATCCATGTCCTCTCCGCATTCAGTATCATTGTTAGGTGGAAATCTATGTCCCTATGCTAACTAATTTGGAGTCCAATATTACTCCCAGATGCTTCAGCTGGCGAGTGATACCCTTTCTTCCACCTTCCTCTTCTCGTGCGTAAGTCTTCCGTTTTCTGCTCAACCATTCCTAAACTCATAGTAGCAAAGCATTGACGCAGACCACTTATAATATCATTGTATAATAAGCTGGAGGTCATCCAGATATTTAGCCAGTGCTATCAGTACGAGATCATCCATATCATATCCATCATCATATGCGATTATTTTCACGTTCTGTTGGGTCTTAGAGYGACTGYTTCTTTTAGTGCTTTTGTGGTATACCATMRAGGCCAATGTCTTTTTGTTTTTGATTTTTTTCGAAATTATCAATATTTAGTTTTCCGTGACTAATTGGGGTGACTCCGTAGTTTCGTTTCGCTTAGCGTAGGAAATGGGGTTCATTTTAGAGAGATTCGGTGGTGAAAACGTCACCATGGCTAAGCCAGCCCACGGAAGACCCGTGACGACGAATACCGATCAAATCATGGAACACATCTTGTTAGCCCGCATCCGGCATCTTGTGACATCGTCGAGAAGATAGGAGTTAGTCAATAAACCATTTTAAACCATCAGCAAAAGGCTAGAAACACAAAAAGGCTTGATGTTTGGGTGCCGCATGATTTGACGGAAAAAAGCATCTGGATCTGGATATGTATGGTGACTGCCAATAATTAGAGGATCACATACGACAATATCAAGCGAAAACAGTCGTGGTCGGAGGTCGGTGAATCGTTCCAAATAGTGGCCAAGCCGGGCTTGATAGCCAGAATGTTTTACTGTGTGTTTGGTGGGTCTTTAAGGGAATCATGCACTATGAGGTGCTCCCATATGGCCAGAGGCTTAATTCTACCATCTACGTGAACTGGACCGCTTGAAGCAGGCGATCGACCAGAAGAGTTCAGAATTGGCCAACAAGAAGGAAGTAGTGTTCCACCAGGATAACGCCAAACCACACACTTCGTTGACGACTCGTCAGAAGCTACGGGAGCTCGGTTGGGAGGTTTTATCGCATCCACCATATAGCCCGGATATAGCGCCAAGTGATTATCATCTGTTCCTGTCCATGGCGAACGCCCTTGTTGGTGTAAAGTTGATCTCAAAAAAGGCTTGTAAAAGTGGATGTCCCAGTTCTTCATAAATATGGAGGGTGGCTTCTACGAGGGGAGTATTCTCAAGTTGCCGTCTAGATGGAAACATATTAACGAACGAAACGCCGCATATTTGAACTAAATCCGATTACTGTAACACTTTTTATAAARCATTTAAAAAAGARCAAATAGGTGGAAGGGAGATATTTGACAGCCTAATGTATGACCAAGTCGCAGCTTTCATTCAGTCAGATCTCGTTTGGCTCAAGCGCTTTAGCGAAACCTATGCCTTCCCGCAATCCAAAAGCAAATATATTTTAAAAACAGTTATTCAAAATGGGTAAAAGAATAAAATGAACCCTTGCGGCTGCTGTAATTGTATTTTTTTTAGACATACCTACACAGCTTTACTCACGTGATATACTTCTATGGCAGGAATGCTGATTGGCCATGTGAGTTGTTGTCGCTCGCTGCTATGGTCTGCGGTTTTGTCAATGTCAAAGCTGCACTGACTTACAGTAATAACATAAAATCTGAGTTCGTTAACAAAGTAAACGACTGTTTTTTAGTTGGCAACAAGGGAACGCGTTTATCTGGGCTMTGTTTTTTTAAATGGTACTACAAAGAGAAAACTGTGTGTGTTGTTGTTCTTATGTGTAATTACAAGTTGTATAATTGGCGACATATTCTTATACAAATTACGACTAAATGAAATGTTAGTAGTAGAAATTAATATTATRAAAAATTGTTTAGTACAAATGGTTTTGAAAATGATGGAGAGTGAAAAAATGACAGTGGAATGAAGARGCACTGGGAGATACGACGGCAGCGACATCTATTGACAAAATGATTCTTTCGACTAACATCGAATAGATGGCTGATTCCTAAAATATTTCCTTAAATTATCAATGTCTCATCAGGAATCCTAAAAGACAAAATTAAAAATAAACATGAAAATTTCTCCTTAAACTGCAACCTTTTATTTCTTGCATTAAACACTTTAAAAGTCTCAAAGCCAAAGRTACATGAGTATAAATAAACAAATAATATAAACTATTTAAATTGTTATTTCAYAAAATGTAACAAAAAATGTAAATTAAAATATTTCATCYATCCGATGCCGTTAGCTCGATGYCCCWRGTGCATRTAAATTGCTTAACCCCATGCTCTATCGAAATGCGWGTAGAAGCTCTGCCTTCYGCAATTGMCAATCACCGGCGACAGCTGTCAGGGTTGCCAACACTTTCACCCGTTGCGCCGTGACACATTTTTAAATGCTGTTTTGCCATCGCTGKGTTTTGCATGGCCATTAGCGGGCTAGCAGCGTTTAATTAAAAATAAAAATCACTCGTTTTGCGTCATTGCAACACACAGCCGCTTAGCTCAGCCATTCAGCGTGTCCACTTGCTTATACTTCGCATGGGCAAACGCTCAATCAACATTTTTATTTACCGTTTGGCTCACTTTAGCGGCGCTRAAACGGGCTGTGGGCATCCAGGTGGCGCCACAAGCATACTCGCGCAGTTGTTTGCGCTCGTGCTTTGATATGAATTATGCATGTGTATGTATGACGTGTGTTTGTTCTATGCATTTCAGGTGGTCGACGACAGCTATCTGGTAGCCTACAATGACACCGTGCACAAACATGGCCTCATAACGTCAATGCTCGGCCTTGAGTTGACAGTTGATGGACGTCACTTYCAGGATGGCGAGATGCGCGTGAAATGCCTGGCCAGCATATCGCCGGTGCTGTGGAGCGGCGACAAGGAGAGCGTGTTACAGCGACGACGCGGCATTATTGACAACCGAGAGGCAATGCTCCTAGGTAAGTTGAARGCGCGATAAACTTAAATAAACTCGAAAACGGCTCAACACCTTGCAATTTAGTGCATTTTAAAAGACCAGTGCGAGTCGTGAATTTCAAATTGTTTATTAAATATACTGACTTGCCTTCTAGTGGTTCACTAATCGTTCAGCATACAAGACACTGATTTGCAGAACTTGAGAAAATCTTTGATTAACTTGAATAAGGTCTCCGTGACCCACTTTCGCATTTATCGAAATCGAATTTAAGCGAACATTTTGCTTTAAGCAAACCCAATTTCGCAGGTGTTTAATAATAAAGGTGAACTATTTTATATTTAGATAAAATTTCAAAATCGATCGGTTTCCAAAAGCCTTTTGAAATAAACGATTATTTAATTTTGATTTCTCGACTTTGTTCAAATATCTTCGCACTGAGTAGGGCAAGGTTCTGAAGCATGCACATGACAACTGGTGCAATTTCGATTTCTTGACAATTACAGCTTCGATTTCATCTCTTCAGCGCCTCTTCAGCGTTTGGCTATGAAAAAATKAAGCAAAACCAACTCTCTTAAATAGAAAATTTAATTATTCGCTCAGAGTTCTAATGAAAGAAGAATTATTGCGAAATATTGAATTGCAGCAAGAGCGACTTTCCCTCATTATGCGAAGTAATTCCAAAAGCGCTTAWACATACATAGCTTATTCGTGTTGCCATTTCCTTTCGGTTCGAAATCAAAAACTGCATTAACTTCTCGCTCCCGAAAAATTCAATTTAATGCGCCACAATTTCAACGAAATTGCATTGAACGGACACGCGCGCTGCGCAGCTTTCCATCATCACCGTCTGTGCAAAGCTTTTGCTTGCTCTTCAGTCTGCTGTCTTTGTCTTATGCTGCGACGTTGACTTGAATTTCAATGCTGCCGCYATTCATATTCACTGCCAACATTCTGTCCTACGAGCTACAAACGCCGACGTTGTCAGTAACGGCACAATACGTGCGCGGCATTGCTGATTGCCAAGTGCAATTGCTTCACATACAAACCAGCTGCCCACCAGCCGACCACTCGGCCCTTACACCCCTTACAGACAGACGTGCGTGTGTATTTTTGGTTGACCGCAGCGTCCGAAAACTGCATTTATTGCCAATGCCAATGCTGTTGGCACTTATTGTTGTTGTTTCCGTTGGCAGCAGCTGCGTGCATCCGCAGTTGATTGCTCGACACTTGAAATGCTGACGGTGTCTCCGCGCGAGAAGTCAAGCAGCCAAACTMGGGGGCCGCAAGAAAGTCAGCCAAATAGTTGGCGTTGTAACATCATTTCCGCTGGCAATCGCTTTTTAAGCAGCAGAGCGAACGATATTTATAACTAAATTTCATTAATTTTCTTTGTTTTTTTTCTTTCAATTCTCTCTTTTCAGTACGTGGTTCTGCCACCCAGCTACATCCTTTGGGTAATTTCCTCTCCAGTCTGCGCCTGCTGACCGCCGCCACAATACTAACAATAATATGTCAATTAGTACTGAGCACCGACCGAGCATAAACGCAACAAATTAGCCACACACACTAAGGCATACCTGCATCAGACGRCACACGCCCAAGCGTGCGCAATAACGGAAGTCAATAAATCACAAAATAGCATAAGTACAGTTAACCAAAGGCAAACTAAACATAAAATAGTGCAAAGCAAATAAAAGTGTGAAAGAAGAAGAAGAGAAACTGCAAGACTTGTTGTTGCATGCATGCCAGCGAGTGTGTTAAAGAGTATGCGCTGACTTTGTGGTCGGCGTGGCGTATACGCTACACTGCATTGAACTATAGGGGCTAACTTGCATACGGTTAAGTTACAGTTAAGGTTTGTGAAATACTTTGTGCTAGCAATAAATTGATTTGTTCAGTAGAAATTGCATAAAATTAAGCGAAATACACGCAGAGAAGTTTGGTTGTTAAAAATACTGTAAATACGAGTATATCTATCTCACATAATGCTATACATATAGTATTTAACTCAATACAAGTATAAATGTAAGCAAGCGGCAGCGCAAAGTTGTTATGTATATTAGATCCAAAAGTAACTTTCCAAGCAAACAAAAAAAAAAAAAAATCAAATGCAATGTAAGTAAGCCAATATTCAGCTTCAATTTTCGGAGCCTTGAGCTCAGTTATGCTTTATTTTATTAATCAATGGAAAATAATTCCCCTTTGTGTCTTCAACTAGCACCAAACTTCTACTTTCATCTAAAATTAGAATGAAAAATGCATTAAATACACTATTGCAATGGCTGCTGTCTCCTCTTGTTATTTTTCTTTCGAACTTGCGCTTTCTGATTTCAAGTGAATAAACATTTTTTCTCTTTGCAAAATCGAATTCCTTGAATTTCTACAAAAAGCAGCAAGTTCGATAGTCTGTTTGCTAASAGTTTGGCTGGCAATTTTATATATTACATAAGTCAATGGGTTGAAGGCGCCCGGCGCACTCCTGAAGCTAATTTTTTTTATTTCAAAAACAGAAAAGAGTAACTGGCGTATGCGGAGACTAAACTCTCGTTTGGTGTTTGGCTAAAAAGTCAGCCGCAATCATGCTAGAATGAAACGACGTATTGAGAACTTTTGATACAAATCTAGCCTTGATATGCTTCATACCCTTCTGATGCCCTCACGACGATTTACAAGTACATTTCCTTAAATTTTTCGATGTTATAGACATTAACAGAAGTAGATAGACAACTCGTGTGAGGCAAGTTTYCGAAGAATTCACGGTCCTCACTAAATGTTTTGTGCCGGTAAAATAATCGTTTTCGTGAAAAATTGAAGTGTTTGTGATAAGGTGTGTTAGACTTCTTGCACTTTAGACATACATTCTACGATTTAAAAGCCGTGATTTCATTCGAAATACAAAATTTAAAGCAAACTCGTTTTACATTTTTTTTCCATGGGAAAAATTGTTTAGCACACCTTTGCGTGGTAAGTTGCAAAACACAACCTTATTCATAGCGATCATAATTGGATCATAATTTACATAAAGTTGAAAAAAAGTTTTACTATCTAGGAAAAACATATTTTTGGATTCCGTGTCAAGCTTGATCTTGAGTTTAGACATTTAATATTAATGAAGATCGACTTAGATTATTTTTCCTCCCAGTAATGTTTGAGTTTTCCATTCTCAAAAGATAAATAGTTACTTATTTGGCTCAGGAAACTTATCAGCTAAAAAACAATAATTAATCTGCCATTTTATTTGTGGTCTCACATGCATAGTTTATGAACATCTTCGAATTATAGCGTCTCATCTATTCTTTTAAGAATATTTCAGCCAGATTTTTAGGTGCAGTGTTAAGTCCGGAGATACATTCAACTTGACCATCTACGTAAAATCAAAAAAAAAAAAAAAAAAAAAAATCTCCAAAATTCTTTGGAAACGGCGGTCATTGCTAAGACCCCTTTTATTCACAACTAAAGTTGTTATACCAGCCTCTGCTTTGCCTCATCAAAACCACAAATAATTATTTGGAATTATTTCATAATTGAAGTAATTGAATCCGATGACTGTAAATATATACAATTGTAATTAAAATATCAAGTAGAAAGTAAAGAGCAAAAATTAATATAGGCAAATATTAAAAATAATACATATGCCCGCATCAAATAATAGCAAGAGAAGCGGCAAGACAGCAGACCATTAAAACAAATTGACCAACTGCTTTAAAGGATATATATAAATATATACCATATATAATATATATTCACTTTCAATTTGGCTTGCGGTGCTTCGGTGAATGTAATTATGTTTGCGCAATTACTTCGACTAAATATGAAATTTGGTAGGCAAGTTTTGGTGAAATAAGTACTGTAAATGCATTTCGTTTTAATTATGTACAAATCTCCTTAATGTTGTATTAGCTAAGTGTTTAAGCGATAAGCCGCTTCCATTTGTGTATATGTGTGTAATACTCGCATTATCTGCGCTTCTGGCGCAACTACTTTAATGATTACTTTATTTTTATATTTCACTAACACAAACACTTGAGTATTAGCAACAAATATACAATACASATGTAGCAAGAGCGAAGCAGACAGGCGCTGCTACAAGTGGGATGCCTGGTGATTCTAAATCGCCTGCGGGCGGAGCAATTCAAATAAATTAAAGAGAAAACTGTCTGTGTTAAACTGCGAAAAATGTGTTTCAATTTCTTACAACGGAAGTTCATTAAGGTTGGTATTAGTTCTTAATTTATTAAACGTCCTATCAACTCGCAAAGCGCATTCCCTTACTACTGATCAGTCAGTAACAACCAGTAATTGTAGGAAATTCCTCAAATATAACCTGTTGTTGCGAATAAATGACGCTTGAGAGGCTAAAGMTTAATTTAAGTGAATGAGTCTTGCTGTTATAATATTCAGTTGATATTTATGATGCTGGAATCATGAGTTGCATATTGTCAACTTAAATCTCGGGTGCGCCAAACACAAAGGATTATTGGAGCTGCTTGTCGTCAGTAAAATATACCATCAGGATTGGTGGCATGATGATATACTAAGAGACGATTTTTGGAGTCTACGAAGTGAAAAACTAATYCCAATCAATAGAGACACTAGAAAAGTAGACCGAAAGGGGACAGCAAACGATGTCATATTTTTTCCCACTCTTTTGAAATTTTTTTTCCATTTCTTCATGAATAGATCCAACAACAAGTCCAAATTATTAAAATTTACTACCGAAATTCGGAGTTAGTGGCCTCAATTCTAACAGCGCTGCATTCAATTTATGGTCGTCATAATCGTCCTGTTTGATCAACAATTSAGCGYCTAGTGGAAAAATTTSAGTTGAATTGAAATGCACAGTACAAAATGTTGCCGTACCAGTGAGACAAAGAAGTGCYCGTAGTGTYGATATTATTYCTGTGTCAGGCAGCAATCTCCACATACTCCAGGAGTTCCATTGTATTCCGAAAAAATTAGGGCTTCTTGCGGTTTTTGGCCCGCGGCGTCATTGAACGGTACTTGTTCCGTGATGATCAAAATCGTCAGGTTACTGTGTACAGGAATCACTACCGCTCAATGATAACCGAATATTTTTGGCCCGAATTAAATGATATGGACTTGGATAATATGTGGTTCTAGCAAAACCGGCGCTACAACCCATACAGGCCACATTCATGGTACCCCAGATCTGGCCCCTGTGTCTTTATGTGATCCCAAAACTGAATATCCAAATCCATATACCAATAGAGTGAACTATAATAATGTTCATGAAAATCAAGCGAGCTACATAAATGAGAAGTTCATTAATTAAGTTCCAAACTGAGCACTGATATCTTCATCCTCATTCTTCTTTCTTTAATATAATCCAGAAGCATGAAAGCGCAAAGTGCTTTATATATTATAAGTGTAGCGAGTTTTAATTAGTTCAAACATCAGCTTAAAAATGACTGAACTATACCAGTGTACCCTAGTGTAGGAATATGAATGCAGTTAGCACTTTACTTGCGAACGTGTGTGAATTTATAGTTCAAGCGCAATCATCAAAGCACCCAATTCCAGCATTAACTACGAAGGAGTTTGAGGAAGCTTCCTGCCAYAAGCTACGTTGAGTAAGCAATCGTAATTATTATCTTGACACGGCTGCCGCGGTTGGGTTTTGTGTAGCAAGTGTGTCGGCGATCTATCATAATTGYAACACTGAAATTAAAGGAAACGCCAAACAAGCCCACACAAGGCGGAGCGCGTAMAATCCACTTGGCAGCTGCACATAATCGTACGGTTAAAGTGCGACAATGCARCAAAGCTCTTGCACAAAATGGACGAGAAAGAGCGCGCGCACTTGCAATGTTGCACTGTGCGGCAACGTGTGGCAAGTGCATAACATCCGCACATGCGGCGGAAAGTAGTGCAAGCACATAATTTCGCGGAGTTGCTCGGTGCAAAGGYCTGCAAAAACAACAAATGCAACAACTATATGACCATAAAAGTTGAGAGGAGAATAAAAAAGGGAGCAGCGAATAAAACCGCTTCACAACTGGGAACCCGATCGATTTTCGCATTGCTGTCGGCGCCGGCTGGCGAGGTGGCAAGGCTGCACAGCAGTGCCACAATAATGTGGAAATGTTGTGAAATCGTGTTCGGGAAAAAAGCAGCGTAACGGCGCTTGCGGAAGGTGAGACGTTGATGGCAGAATTGTTGTGGAGGTAATCGTTGGGGCTTTGCTGACTTATTGCGGCAGCTACTGCTTGGTTAACACTTTATTTAGGTCTGGCAGCTACAACGAGACATATTCGCACTTCGTTTTTTTATTTTTGTGTGATTCGCCGTTATTTTTATTGCATAGCCTACATTGTGCTGTGAACTTTTTCCATCAGCACACTTTCCGTTTGCCCCGGCTGTGCGATTAAGCAGTGTAAATTCAAAATTTCATTAAATTTTTATAGRAAATCCGTTGCTCCTGTCTACTTAYGGTCTTATCCTTATTGTTGGTATGATTCTGAGTGACACRGAGTGAGCTGAAATTGTTAAAGAGTGATGATKTGTTATTTGGGAACGACGATGGTTTGGTATCTGCAGCTTTTCTGAACACTTATCGAAGCAAAGGGTTCGCAGCGAAGCAAATATTGAAGTTTGAGCCACGTTTTCGTTTTGTTAAATTAATTAAATATGCCTTTAGGGCGAATTGCTCGAGCGCCGTCGTTTTCGTCACCACTTTCGTGGAGTTCAATCTAACTTATCCCACCAAAAGCAGGCAAAAAACACAAAAGTCACACAAAGCAGAAAAAGTGTAATTTCTAAWTGCAACACTAAAAGTCATTCAAACGAATTTATTGCGTACCTTAACCCCCGATTTCCTTATGAATGTTTATACGCAAATATCGCACGYARTGCGATTTAAAGCAAACCACGCAATGCCTTAAGCAAGGAACGTTCAGCAGYGGCTGCTTGCATTTGGTGAGCGAAATTGATTCGGCGACTATTTCCGCTTCGTTCGTGTAGCTAGGCGATCGGCAGCGCCTACTGGTCATTTACCTCTTGTCGTTGGCAAAGCAATCAATTGCATTGCACTTGCCTTTCATTCTGGATGCTATAATTCAAAGGCTCTCACTCTCCCTCACCAAC